ACGGGCATGTGTACTTTATGTGTTGTAGCTTGTTGCATGGCGGTTGTGCTGTAAACAGTAGCACCTTATTCGGCCATCCGCAGATGCCATTTTTTAACTTCAATTCTGCATTGGCTCAGGTACTGTGTTTGTAGTGTCATCCTCTCTGTATGAATTATTTATGTTTCTTTCCCACCTCAGTGCTGTATTTGGCTTGATATTGTTGCTGTTGTACATACAAGTATAGGCACATGCATTGATCTGTGAGGGTTTGTGTTTGGAGCTCCAGCAACCTGTTGAGGTTCGTGTTGTTTATAAATTCGTGGTCTACGGATACAATGATCTGGCTGGTACATCGCAGAATATTAGGACCCCTTGAACGATTCTGTCGGTCGTTCCTAAGTTCACCAATTGAAGACATGTGTGTGTCCAAATGTGTCAAAAATACAGTGTTGACAAAACGGTTGGTATCACCGCTGTCGGATATTTTGCACAAGCCAAAATTGGAAGATGCACTGTTGGCTAATATCTCTTTCTAAATAAATAAGCAGGAAATAGCGAAACCCTTGTACAAACCAACGGCGCGAAATTATAGCATGTTCAACCAAAATATCAGCGACATAACGAAAACGCAAGCGACGAGCGAGAACTCAACTTCTCGCTATTTGTTATCGCCACGGACAAAACTTGTTATCGCCACGGACAAAACTTAGGGCAGAGAACAACTATTCAGTTGGATTTCGACAACGATCTGAGACGAAGATCTCACGGGAGACATAAACCAAAGGACAACGAAGGTGACGCCATTGAGTATTCGTCTCGCGATATCTTGAGAAAACTGCGAAATCTGGCAAATCTGGAAAATAAAAGTGCAACTTTTAGACGACTTTTTCTGAACTGGCGCACGGACTGGATGTCTTCGCTGCGATTGTCAGAAGCGATGGACCATGAATTTCTTTGAGAGTCTCTGGGTGCTACTATTCCTGAGCCTAGTTTTCAGCCATTCCCTGCATCTTCTTCGCACGATTTATTCTGCAAAAAAGGAAAGTGTTCATGTGTTTTCTTGTCGGCCGCGCGTAGTTGGGCCAGGCTGACCTGCGCAGATGGGCAGTGCGTTCGCTGACATTCCTACTTTGGAGACAGATTTTGTCTGCGATGATGGGAAGTCGCTTAGAATAGCGTATGTAGTTGGCGACAATTGAAATGTAAGTTCCACAAACCTGTCGCCAAGTAAAGACTCAATCTCTACTCTCTGGAATTTCGTAGTCAACAACGATGTCAAGCCCGCGTCCTCAACGCCTGCATAAAACGATGTCAAGCCCGCGTCCTCAACGCCTGCATAAATACATATGAATCAAGCCCGTGTCCTGGTCTCTGCCGTTCAAGTGTCCAGTGGACCTGAGCGTGGTGAACTTGGATCGGACAGTAGAGCTGCGTAGATTGGTAGATCTACATGTACGTAATACGAAAGGAGAACGCCAAACAGGTAGAGGTAAACCCACTTGTAGCCCAATGTCTAGCCTTCAAATTGCCTAATTCTGCTAGTTTATTTATTATCATTTTTTATTCATATATTTATTTGTTTCGAAGATGTTAGTGGGACTTCGGCGACACTCTTCCCCTTTATTTAAGTTTATATGTTTCGTGAATAGTTCTACGAGACAGGCACCAGCGGAGGCTACTATGGTCAAACGGGGTCTTGATTAATACGACACGGAAATGTACGAAAATGAAGCCTTGTTCCATGCCACTTTCGGATGATGCTGAAGCCATCATCCCGACTCCCGAAAGAACGTCGCTGGGAGAAGTCTAGACACTCCGTGAAGTCTTGGTGAACTCGATTCATCTGGCTGCTGACGATGAATCGATGGAAGACTCAGAGTCAGAGGGCGAGCTGTAACCTCATTCGTTCCAGAGCCGTGCCGGCAAACACGCAACCTGCTCACTGTGGCACACGTGTGGCACTCTTGCACCGTACATGAGAACAGATGGCTCGGAGCACGTTGGGAGCCCGTCCAATTAATCGTCAAACTTTCAGGAACACAGCACCTCCTTGTTGCTCGACTCGCAGGTTTTTCGGGAGCTCACTCCTGCTCTGGGAATGGGTGTGTCCACCCTAGTAAACTCACTATTTGTCTGTAGATTACGGGTACTGAATGAATTTCAAGATAATAGTGGGTTTTCCCCCAGCACGAGACGTCAAGGGAATCAAGGCATACCGCTGTGTGTGATGCAACGTTTTCTGGACGACTTCAAATCCTTACAATACACACACACACACACACACGCTAGTAGTAATACTGGGAAGCAGGGCAAGCAGGGCCAGACAAACAGTGGTCATAGGCGACTTCTCCGCTAGGGCGTCTAAAGTGCATCACACCGGTAGTTAACAGTCTCGTTTTGGTGTGCAGATACAATGTACGTGCGTGCATAAGTTGACAGAAAGGCTAACAAGTAACAGGTGCATGTCATGTGGTCACACCAGCTGATTTGTGCGCGAGCAGGTCTTTATATCTGGTGCTTATCTGGTGCTTATGTGAAAATAAGCAGGTATGTATGAAGTGTAGACGAGGCATTGAGATAGTTCTATTGTTTCGTTTTCACACCGGTAGTTAACAGTCTCGTTTTGGTGTACAGATACAATGTACGTGCGTGCATAAGTTGACAGAAAGGCTAACAAGTAACAGGTGCATGTCATGTGGTCACACCAGCTGATTTGTGCGCGAGCAGGTCTTTATATCTGGTGCTTATCTGGTGCTTATGTGAAAATAAGCAGGTATGTATGAAGTGTAGACGAGGCATTGAGATAGTTCTATTGTTTCGTTTGTGAGAGTTAACAGACATACTAGTAGGTGAGAATAGAGGCGATACCAGAGTAGATTGCCACCAGCAACAAAATTTTCAAATAGGTATTCGGATTTCAAATCTCAAGCCTTGCGGTATACATGTATATCAGCGACATAGGCTTTACTAAGCTCACTGGATTTATATCAATCTGCTCGTTACAACCAACCTTCCGTTTTTTCTTTCTCTTTTTCTCCTATCTCTACTTATCCACAATATCCTTTAAATATATATTATTATTCACAGTGGGTCCAATGTTATAAAGTAGGCAGTTTGCCTGTTTTGATTTCCACTATAAAGACAAAGAAGGGCAGTGTTACAGAGTCATCAAGGGCGATAGCGACAGTAACCCTGGAACATAACAAGCGGGAAGAGGGAGAGAGAAAGCACCACGTTGCTAAACCTGGTACAGGTGGCGCCATGTTGAGAAAACAACTCATGTATCTGATGGTGGTAACAGCGCACTGTTGTCGCCTCTATTCCCATCACCACGTCCACACTTCACACATACGCGCATTAACTTGCACACTAGCACCAAATATCTAGACCTGCTCGTAGAGGACTCAATAGTAAAATGCTGCTACACCCATATTCAATCTATACAAAGGCAATTCTCTCCCATGTAAATGTATACACGTGTCAGGTCTGTATACACGTGTTTGGGTCCAATGAAGGACGGTTGGACAGCCTGCTATTTAAGAAGGCCGTCTTGGATCGAGGCCAAAGCGTAGAAGAAGAATAAACTTCAACAGCAGTGAGCATGTCGTCTAAAACTATCCACTGAGAAGGTTGCTTTGCAACGTCAAGTCTCCGGACGACGCCGGACGGGCTCAGAGGCACGATTTTCGGAACTGACATGACACCGTTGTCGACCGGCAATTATGCTTGTAATGCTAATTTTGCATGCGAAATGGTGTTATAATGGCAGCATTATGTCACCTGGAAAAAGGGACTATAATGCCAGCCATAATGCTAGCATTACCCGCCCATGCCTAGAGCTCACTCGTGCCCTGGGAATGGGTGTGTCACCCTAGTAAACTCACTCTTTGTCAGTAAATTACGGGTACTGAATGAATTTCAAGATAATAGTGGGTTTTCCCCCAGCACGAGACGTCAAGGGAATCAATGCATACCGCTGTGTGTGATGCAACGTTTTCTGGACGACTTCAAATCCTTACAATACACACACACACACACACACTAATAGTAGTACTGGTAAGCAGGGCAAGCAGGGCCAGACAAACAGTGGTCATAGGTAGCCTCTCCGCTAGGGCGTCTAAAGTGCATCACACCGGTAGTTAACAGTCACGTTTTGGTGTACAGATACAATGTACGTGCGTGCATAAGATGACAGAAAGGCTTACAAGTAACAGGTGCACGTCATGTGGTCACACCAGCTGGGCTTTGCTGGGCCCTGACACTGTGCGAGTTGTTTTTACTCTCGGTGTTCAAATTTTTGTTCCATCAACCAAACCAACCCAACTGGACTCTCCTGCCGACTTCGACAAATTGCTGCAGACTACCATCAGTAAAGAGACACATCAGCGGTAGTGAGCTCCTTCGTACACTTGTTTCGAGGTTAAAACTTTCCTTGGCGAAGGAAGGTATTGTTCAAGGCCGAATGGTGCTGTTTACCCTTGTTTAATCACTTTTACAACTTGTCAGCAGTACGATTGTCATTATTTTGATCCATACCTGCAAAGAAAAAAACTGCGCCTATTTTTAGCGCATATTCCAATTAATTATCACACTCACTCAGATACCAAGTGATTAGTGACTTGTGCCATGAACAAAATTTAATATAAGTGTTTTGTTTTGATTCTTACAGTAGACTGCAAGGCGTTAACTTATCTGCACGTGTATGGCTTGCAATATGGCCGATTTCATGCTTTATATTAGAGTCACTCCGAGCAATTAGAGGACATAAAAGGTTTTCGGACCTACACACAGAGGTAGAAGGAAATATAATTATCTTCTCTCGTACCTTCAGTCATTTGTGACGGCTTCAAGTTCACCAGCTTTGTTTGACAAGCCTAGGGCAAATTCAGCATGCATGACTGTCTGCATGACACTAATTACACTTGATGTGTCACTGACTGTGCTGTGAAATAGTTTACATGAATGCAGGGAGTACTGGAGCACAGCGCAAAGCAAGGAAGCGATCTTATAATCACAACACAAATTGGCGGGCAGTGGGGGTAAGAGTACATTTCAAAAAGAGTATCAGAGTGGGCGAATGCCAATAACGACGATGGCATTCAGCAGGAGTACCAGTGCGCAGCGAGTGGATTTTAGAGGTAAGTTGAATTGAATTACCAAACTTAGTAGGTTGGTCTACGACCGCGATTCAGACGGGAATGGCACCTTGTTCCAGTCCTTCAATGGGCCAGGTGTCCAGCCGTTCTGCTCAGCACAGAAAACAGGGAACGTGTGGCCTAGCACACTGGCTGCATGTACATTATGTAGGCAAATGCGCCTAAGTGAGCGTCCCGCACCCGTGCCCATAGTTGACTCTAGCTCTCTACCCCTCCCCCTCCCCAACCATTAAGCACTGGACTTGTAAGTTTCTTTGAGAAAAGAGCATAACAGCAGTGAAGCCAGTGAAGCCAGACGTGGGAACAGGAGGGACGTGTCGTGCCCTCTCCTTCAGGGAATGGTTGGGTTACAAACATAAACAAAAGGCAGCTACACATCATGCAGCTGTATTTGTTAAGTGAGAACAGGATGTAAGATAAAATTCTTCATTTTGGCTAGTGTAGAGCAAACCGAGCAAGTCGTGTACTAGGTAAAAAAATTATTATTATTATTTTTTTAATTATGATATAGTTTGGGAAAATTCGCCCACGGCACCCGCCACACACACATTCCGTGAGATCGTGGATCCACCACTGCATAATATGTATTATACTTGAAGTACTATTACCTGAAGCCGAATTGAGTACCCCCGATGTTTGTATACGTGGTGAATATCAGGCCATACTCACGAAGCTGAAGGTAATACAGTGTATTAGATTTATACCTAGGGTGACATTCAACTTCGTTTTTTTGTCGCGATCGCCGCCCTCATTGCCAAACTCATCTTCGACAAATTCGAGTTTGAGATCGATAGTACAGCACAGTGAAGGACTGTACGAGTGCAAGATTGAAAACTCGCCATGAGCTGTGGGGATCAGCTAGACCCCGTAGCAGCTACTGACTTCTCTAGTCGGATCAGGCAAAACAATTGACCAATCACATTGAAGCGCAGGATCAAAATTTGACCAATCATGATTAGTGTACGAGCAGGTCTATACATCTGGTGCTTAATCTGCGGACAGTCTGGTGCTTATGTGAAAATAGGCACGTATGTATGAAGTGTAGACGAGGTCAATGGTCATTGCCAGAGACTTGAGTGGCTCACACGTTACTCTCCAGTCTGCGTCCCACTCAGGCACGCTGTCCAAGGTGGCTTGGAGCTGCATGTGAAGTCGGCGATTTCGGAGGGGGCAGACAGGCACTGGTAGGGGGTCGTGTCATCCGCATAGAGAGATGATCGTCCCAATCGTTCAAGGTTTGTAACATGGCGGCAAATACACAAGCCCTCCCCAAGCCAGCTCTCTTGTCTGACAAGTTACAATCGAACCCCGCATTTCTATAAAAATAATTATGACACGGACGAAAAATAATGATGAACTTGGATCGCAAACTTGATTTGATCCTTGACTGCTTCCTGACTGCCATTAGGATCACACGGGAAGTCGATAAGCCCTCCACGTCCCAGGCGTGCAAGAACATACAACTGCACGCTCAGTCAACAAGCCCTCCACATCCCAGGCGTGCAAGAACACACAACTGCACGCTCAGTGCCAAATGTTTACGGGAATTCATGGCTCACCAGTTGCGCTGCAGCAGGCCGGGGAAGATTTGGCGCGAAGGGCACCACGTTTCTACATGACGTGCTCTTCAGTCCGTATAACCACCAGAAAGATACTAACTAGTAACTTATATTGACCGAGACAGTCCGCTTCCTGCCCTACAAATACCCAGTGACATCAAGATACAATGTAGTAGTGTGAGTCACCTACATAGGCTACAGTGCTGGCAACTGAAATTCGACCTCCTGACCGATGCGCTCACATGGCAAAGTGCCAGGAGTGTAGGTAGGAACACGTGTTTTTGGAGTTGACAAGATTGGAAACGAACAACGGTCTAGAACACATGTGCTGCATATCCGCGAGCCACGCGTACTGACGCTGCTATTTAGTGGTTCTTGAAAAATATGAAAAATGACCTTGTGCATTGCATTCCCACCCAGAATGAAAGAAGGCATGGCTGAACTTCATGAAGTGCATTGGATGCCTTGTGCGTATGGAGAGCGCATCTCCCCCCCCCCCCCCCGCCCTACAGTTCAGGTAGGTCGGGCATCGCTGCGTGGACCTTTTTGCATTCATCATTATTTTAGACTGCGTTTACACGGAGACGAAACGAAGCGAAACGAAAACACGCTGGCCTCGAATCCTTTTCAAACCGTTTACGGCAAATCGTTTTGAACCGTTTACACGAAAACAAGAAACGGTCGATAAGGCTGGAGTTAGCCCCTGCTGGCTTGGCGCAAGGGCGGGAAATAACACGTTAGTTGAAGTTGGCAAGTGCTGGCCGGCGCAAGGGTTGGGTATAGTCCCCCCGCAGAATGGTTTC